CATTATTCAACTTTTGTCCTATGAGTATGGAATTGTTGACAATCCAGATGATCGAATTTCGTGCTGAAATTTTGTCCATAGATAAACTTGATTGTCGTTAGAAACATCTCAAAGTTTGAGCTAAGAAAAATGTATCCTTGCTAGAATATTTACATTTTAAAGAAACGCCTTTTTTTGGGCTGTGTTTCAAAAGAAGAACGCAAGTTGATATCTTAATATAAATACGTTTGTCCTAGCTCAAACTTTGGAATGTTTGTAATAGGAGAAGAATTTGAGTAAAGCACCCATACCTCAACACTGGAAAACAAGAAAAGCAAACAAAAACAGGCTTTTTTTGCTGTTCATCATGATCAATCGAATGGCCATAATGGAAAGCGAAAAGCAATGGGACAGTTGAGAATGCTCCCTTATTAGCTGGTCAGGCTCTGTCTGTTCGAGTGGCTTACAGCGATTTAGCTGACATGACTTCGATCGATAGAGGAGAGCTCAGATTCCTCTTGGTTACAGTGTTAGTCATCAGCAATCACAAAACTTATTCATAAAGCTACAAAATAGTACATTTTTATTCTTTGTTTGTTTAACATATAAAGAATAAAGTTATTACTATATAAGTGTAAAAAACAATTTGTTTCTTTTATCGATTAGGCGCGTGCCAGCTCACAGTTCTATGAATCGGTTCCTTTTTCGAGAGCTGTATCAAAAGATCAGTTCTTTTTATATGAAGTATACCTACTGATAATGGTATTGTTGTAATTCTATTCAGTAATTATTTCAGTCATCAAAAAAAAATAACTGGTTACTACCAGTTCTTGGAAAAAGAAATAGATGAGTGATGCTAGTTGAGTTCCTCGATTGTGAACTATCACAGACCTACTACCGATATAACTTCAATATAGATGGAATTGTATTTGTATTCAACTTTTTTGAATCGAAAAACATCATGGAACGATCTTTTTGACTTATCCATCGTCTAAAACTACAAGATATTGCTTGTTTTGCATTATAGAACGCAAGTAGAAGTCAGTTTTTATTAATAAAAACAAAAATCTCCTCCTATTGATTGACACTCGATTATTCTTTTATCATTTCGTGATGAAATTTGCGTCCGAATATCTTTTTTTTTTAATATTAGATTTTACATAGAAAAATATCAATATTTATCAGATAATATTCGTATAATCAAATTCATTAATGAATATTTAAATGCTTGTCTTTGAACAAAATATGATATCCATGGCTGCATAAAATAACTAGCTGTAATACCATTAAATATAAATGTTAATAAAAAACCAATTGATTTGGGAATATATATTTGATGAAATTGATGTTTAAATATATATTCAATACAAACAGCTAAACCTTGAAGAATGAAAAATTTTATTTGATCACCAGTAAATTTTTCAAAAGCTACATAAATATAATATTCATGTATGATACCAGAAAATAAGAAAACACACATTGATGAAATACCATTAACAATAAATTTCGGTGAATATGGCCAATAATAAAGAATAAATTTTGATATTGGTTTAAAGATAAGTTCAATCCAAGTATTTTTGAATCTATATAAAGATTAAATCATTGATTTTCGAAATCTATATTCATTTCGGATATTATTATGTTAGACAGATATAATGATTGAGAAAATTTCAACCTCAATGAATATACATCATTTTCATTTAGTCTTAATCTTTATTGACTTTTGCTTTCAGAAATGTTAACAGTCATAATTTTATGTCTTTGAAAAATCTCAGATGAAATAGAAGATATATTGTGGGTCAAAAAATTTGTACGTCCAGCTCTTTCCTTAACTTATAAAAACGAACGTAACAATGCCTTGTACCACATCACCTCTAGTACACATGCTATTACTTGCAGTTTTGTATTTCTTTTAATCTATATTTTACTGAAAAACTATCAAAAACATGTCGAATTTTCATAACAAAAAAAATACCACATTTAGTATTTTGATACATTTGTAAAATCGACTAGGAACTGAATTTACAAGTTTTTTCAAGTACAGACAAACTCCAGATCAAGAAATACGGACCGTTTCTGGCCGCGAACCTCGGAAAAATAGTTGAAATTTAGAATCAAGAATCCGATGGTCGGCTCTGTCCGATTATGACTGGAACTGAAAAAATTCGGGCACCGACTTCGATTACCAGATTCCTGCTTCTAAGGAGATGTGTTTAGGATTATTATCACACATGAAAATGTGTCGTTGATCCAGTTTAAACTCTTTGATCGATGACAATAGATTTTTTTTTCGAAAACATCTCGGTAATAATACCTGCCTGTAGTACGATCCAAGCCACACAGTTTCTAACTCCTTTTGCCGAGGAAATAGTCTCAAACTATGACTAAACTATTATTGTGCTTGACAATAAGAACTGTGCACTCTAAGTCAAGTACATCATGTAGCGTTCTTCAGATCATAATTTTACTGTCCGAGGCAAAAGCATTAAGTTTTAATTCGTCGGGCTCAAATAATATTTTCCCAAAATCTGGCTAGTTTTTTGAGTATTTCCTTCGTGTACTTTAGTCATTCTTCTCGATTATTCTTGTTCCAGTAAAATTTCTTACGTGCTATTCGATCAAATAATCCGTTGATCTAAAGTTTTTGCTGTAATTTCACTTAGTAAGTAATCGTGCTACTGATGTTTTATTACTAGAGCTCTAAGATCATTTCTTTTTTGATCCTTCACATACATTTATTATGACAGATAAGTCAGTTGTATAGTTATAATACGTGAATAATACAACGAAAGATATTATATTCAAAAAACAGCATACACTGAAGAAAACGAAAAAAACCTATCCTTATTTTCTTTATCACTTACATTTGATGCCATCTTGACCAAAAATCAGCAGGTGATATTGCTCGATACGGTTGTTGAAATAGTTCAGGCATTAATTCAAGTGGTCGATTAAATATTAAACAAAGTACATATCGAAGTATGTCATAATTGAGGGAAAAAAGGAGATATACAATAAAACCGCTTGATTGATTAATAATAATTTGTATAAA